CTACCCTTATATCTCCCTCATTGGATCGAAAACCACTCCACCAAGCAACCCTCTAACCTGCTGCCTTACCTCTTCCCTCTTCCCCTTCAATGACTACTGCCGACATAAGCAAAAAGGAAGCAGCCTACCGAGCAGCCACCATCGACCACCTCTGTTATGCTGTTGCTCTTGCCATTTTTTTGTGTGAATCGCAAAGGGCCAAACCGAGGAATCTAATGACCCGACATTTTTTTCCTTTCATCATCTTCACCGGAGAGGATGTTCAGTGGCGATGATAGCGAAGAAGGGCATGTTGCAGGTACGCTATCATTGTTGCTCCAATTGAGGGTTTTCGAGCCCTAATCACACCTAAATCAAAGTTTTTGGTACTCTCTCCTCCGATTAGGGCTTGAAACGATTTCGACTTCATAACTTTGGGTTGTTTTATATCTGATTTGGGTTTTAACCTAACACAAAATACAGAGGAGGGAGAATGCAGAAGTGACATATGAAAGGAGGAGGTAGAAGGTGAAGGTTATCAACGACGCACCAGATCCAGGCATGCTTACTTGAGGAGGCTTACCGAGGATTGAGAGGCCATTAATAGCTTTAAGGCGAAGGCATCATTGTTGACTGTCGTAGCGAGTGTGATCAGCGCCGGTGCTACTTCGAGTCAGGTAATTGTGAGGAATCTGGTGACGGTTATGGTTGATTTCGTTGTCAAAAGTGAGGATTGGACTGCGAGGAAGGCGGCAACAGAGGCGCTTGAGAAGTTGGCTTTGGTGGAGACAAATTTGTTGTCGGAGTTCAAGGGTCCTTGCTTGAAAACATTTGAGGCGAAAAATCTGTGAATCAAAATTAAGTGGTGATTATGTGGAGAGAGATTTAATTTTATTTTTTATTATTTTTTATTTTTTTTTAAATCAGAAAAACAATTAAGAAAAAAGAGAAAAACATATTAACAGGGGTAAATCCGTCATTTGAAAAAAAATCAGAACAGATTGGACCAAACAAGCAACAAAATGAAAACTTTGGATCTCTGGTGCTAGTCCAAACTTTTTTGGATCAAAGTGACAATTTTGAGCAAACAACAGAGACTATTTGTGCAGTTTAGTCTTTAAAATGACTTTTAGAACTTTTAGTTTTTCAAAAAAGTTAAAAGTTAAAAAAGATGTTTGGTATTTCAAGAAGTTCTTTTAAAACAACTTTTTGATAAGAAAAAAAATAAGCATTTGAAAAGTAATGAATTTGTGACTTTTTCAATTTTTGGGGCTTTAGCTTTTGAAAAGTCAAAAAATGAACCAAACACATTTTAAAACTACATTTTGTGAAAAGCCAAAAAATCAAAAAAGACTTTTGTCGAAAGAACTTTTTAGCATGAAAAGCAATCCCAAACACCCCATGAGTGGTAAACCATGAGAAAAAGTGATAGCTTCAATGTAAATCACAAATGTATTATTGAAAAGTAATTATACCTAAGTGATAGATATTTTTTGATAATAAATATATACTACATTTTTATGATTTAACTCTCATTTCTCGATTTTTATGCCATCGTATCGTCTTGAGAATTTTTTTTTGAAAGTGTCTGTTTATTGTCTTGGTCGTGGTGATTCCATAAATGCAGACAAATTTCAATTCCGATATGTCAAACTCCATGAATTAATTTAAACTTTTGCAATTAATTGATTCAGATTCAACAAATTTTACGAATCTAATTTTGGTCGAGGTTAAAAATGTCATAAAAATGACATAAAATACTAGACCATAGTCTGAGTTTAAAAACGTGCTCATAAGTAATTTACGAGGCTCGTAGCTGTTCCAAACGAAGCAGTGCATAGTTCGTTTCAGGAAAATCAGATAAATACCGATTTTTATAATTTGAAAGAGGCATAACTTTCTCATACAATCTCCGTTTTGGACGTTCTTTATATCCACAGAATCAGGAAAACACAATCTATTCAAATTTCCTAACCATAACTCTCAAGTATACATAATGCAAAATTTTATTTTTAACGTCACAAGTAGAATTGAAAATAATATTTTTAATATACATTATAATCATAAAGTCACACAAAATCGATCCTTAATACCAGCGGTTCGTGGTGGTGTAACCGCCGAACACTAATTAATTTTTACCAATTGTTACACGACACGATTTGGGTAGTAATCGATCGTCTAACTAAGTCCGCCCATTTCCTACGCATTAAGGAAACAGAAAAAATGGAGAAGTTAGCCAGGACTTATGTCAAGGAGATAGTCCGGCTACACGGCGTACCGACATCGATCATCTAGGACAGAGACAACTTATTTACGTCCTGGTTCTGGCAGACAATGCAACGGGCACTAGGAACCCGACTCAATATGAGTACCGCTTATCATCCGCAGACAGATGGTCAAAGCGAGAGGACCGTACAAACCTTGGACGATATGCTCAGAGCATGCGTGATAGACTTTGGAGATGCATGAGATACTCACCTACCGTTGGTTGAGTTCTCCTACAACAATAGTTATTAGGGCTGTCAAATATGTACCATGGAGAACCAACCAACATGTTACCAACCGAACCAAGATAGTTGGTTACCAATATGTTTGGTAGCCAACATGTTTGGTTGGTAGCATTGTACCAGTTCAATAAATTTGGTACGGTATTGGTCTTAAAATGTTAGGTTGGTAGTACCGTACCAATTCAATAAATTTTATTCCCGACGCTCACTCAAAACTCATTAAAATGGACCAAAACACCAAATACATTTAGATCCAAAGATGAAATGCAATAAAGCTTGAAACTTTATAAGTTACAAAGGTCTAGAAGGTAGATGAAAGTTGAGATCTTAAATTTCCAAGCTTCAAGGATCAATCTTGCATGAAAGCATTGGCCCAAAACCACCAAAAACTCCAAAAATGGATGAAAGAGGAGATAAGAGGCTCAAAGTGGTGAAAGGGAGGCTAGGGTTTCTCTCAAAAGGCTTTAGGTGTGATGGAGAGTGGAAAAGTACCCCTAAAACACGGAACCACCCTTTAAATACATAGAAACCCTAAAACTTTGTGGGCTTCGCCTGTCCAGTTCTCACCTCGTGACAGCCTGCTTGTCACCTTGTGACAGGCTCTTCACATCGTGAGGATATGCTCCTCACCTTGTGACAACAGGTTTTCACCCAATTCCATTCCAACTTCAAGCGGTCATGACTTCTTCGTTTCAAATCCATTTTCGGCGATCTTTATATGCATGGAAAGATATTGACGATACCCACAACCATATCTAATTACTTTTGACTTAATACATGTCGAACTAAAACCATAATCCATGCAAGAATCCCGAAATATTATTTTTCCCATTTTACCCTTTTATTCAAAGCACAATTCGAAGGCTTTTATCACTTAACCAACATTATCAACATCCGATAAGGTCTAAACTCTATTCCCTTGAAGCCTAAAACCTTTGCTTGATCCATTTACGGCTTGCTATTCCAAAATTAGAAACATTCTGAAACTAGGTGTTATAACCTTTATACTTGATTTTGTCCCGAAAATCCGCAAACCAAAGAGCTTCACTTTATGAATGTTTTTGGTCAATGAAATCTGATACTAGCTAAGTCAAAATGTTAAAAACATAACACACATCATGTATTACACGTTTGCTTGGGTGCGAGTGTTTAAAACAAGAATTAAGCCCCGATTTTGTGTTATGTGTGTGTAAACCTAAGAATATTTTTGGAATCATTCATACCCAAATGCATGTACAAAAAGATATATGAATTGTGTGGTTTAATGCTTATATAATCTTATAAGATAAGGTTTGTGTGCAACATGATATCACAAGAAGTATCTAAAGTAAAAGTATAAATAAAATACAATATGTGTATTATCTAAGCGTGACCTAAGTGGAGTTATTGGTATGGAGTGTAGGTGTTTACAAAGTTGGACAATCCATCTTAGCCACTTCGTTTTTATTCTGTGATTGTTGCTTTAGGTGAGTATTCTCACCGTATTACTTATATCATGTATTGTATTTGAGTTGCTGATAACTCAGGGTTGCTAATAGCCTATAAGGTTGTTGGTAATTGATAGGGTTGCTAATAACTCATAGCTATTAGAATTGTTGATAACTCATGGTTGCGGATAGCTCATAGGGTTTTTAATAACCCATAAGGTTGTTGATAACTCATAGTTGTTATAGTTGTTGATAACTCAGGGTTGCTGATAGCCCATATGGTTGCTGATAACTCATAGTTGTTATATATGTTTAGTTGTGTTGTGTTATATGTGATATTTTGGGGAACTCGCTAAGCGCTGACTTATAGTTTTGGATAAAATGTTTTTTAGGTACTCCATCAGATCATAGGAAGGCAGAGGCGGGACTGTATACACGCGTCTATAGTTTTATGATTTGAGATTTTGCGATGCCTTTCTTATTAACTCTAATTTTGGATTAAAGTTTATGAACAAATGGTTTTACATTGAACATGTCTTTATGAAAATGAGTGTTTATTTTATTTTAAAAATGAAAAATTTATTCTGAAATCAAGACGTTACAGCTCCGGAATACCATAATCTAGAGTAAGTGGTCATTTTACAAATTTTATAAAATATTTGTTTTTTATTCAAATACTTCATTTATATGGGCTAGATTACTTAGTTTCCTTATAAATAATCTCGAGTTTTAGTTGACCCAATCATAATTATAACAAAATCAATGTATATGAGCTTGATAGAGGGGAACAAATTAATTCCATTGTTTTTTGTGGAAAAAGGAAAAACACCATATTGTATGTGATCATGTGTAGAAAGTATATATGCAATCGACCCTCATGAATTGTGACCATTTTTGTCTCTTTATATATCTTTATCTATGTGTAGCACAATTACAAATGTACAATTTATCTATTAAACATTTTGGTAGGACATAGATTACAATAAACGTTATTTGTTAAAATAAATAAATAAGTGGTTTAAATGGTATAATATTTTAATTTTTTATTGATAAAAAAATAAAAGGTGTATAAAAGGACAATTTTATCTTAATTTATATTAACACCCTTTACTTGCTCCATTTCCGCCTCCTCTTTACAGTTCTCTTCGTCGCATTTTCGGAAGAGTCTAACAAAGTTCAAAAGGGTCATAGTAACTGCACAAATAATAATAATAAAGTAACAAATGAATAACTATTTTTATTATTTTTTTCCGTTTGAAAATGCTACTACACATCTTGGGAAATGAAATAAAAGATAAATAAGTCAAATTTGTAAGAAGTTAAGACCTAACAGAGAAAGCCTTGTTTCACTGATTTTCTTTATTAAGTCTTTTTTGCACTAAGTCAAAAAGAAACAAACATATATAACTTCTATCTTTATGTAAAATAGCAACAAGAAGTAAGTTAGTTACTTTGTTCAAAAGGACAACGAGTAGGATCTTCACCAAAATATATGGTCAATGCATCAACGTTTCTACACTGTAAGTTTAACAAAAACAATGAATAATCCAAAAAGGAATTAAGGAAAGGTGGTTATTTGACTTTTGAGGCAAATTTACAATGATTCGTTTACCACAACGGAATAGAAATCTGTTACACTTGTCATTTCCGCCTCAGCTTGGCCAATGAACTCCTTCAATGTCTAAATTTTTTAAAAAATCAGCAGTTATTCAAATGTATTATACATAATATATATAATAAGAAGTATCTGATATGGTTTTGGATTAAAGATAATGTTAGTTGCTATTTCAGGGTTTCTGAGCTACTACCTTACGAAAACCTTCAGACACGGGGCCATCATTTTCCGATGCAGCTAGTTCCTGTTTAACTTTTTCTAACCCTTTCAGAATGGCTTGCATTTCTTCTGCTAAAACTTTCAGTTGTATCTGTGCAAATTAAAAATCCTTCCATTGGTTTTATATACTAGCGATAAATCTATGCAATTCAAAAAAAAAAAAAAAACTCAAAACTTGGTTGCAACTTCTAGGCTAACAAGATCCTTATAGAAATCTAAAAGGCTTGGGGATTTGGAGGCAAGAACCTGTACACAAATGTTGATGATTAATAATTTTAATGCATTAAAGATGTCACATTTTGTATCGAGTAGTTTAGTACCTTGCAGAGATAATGCATTAAAGTCATCTTGCTAGTTTAGTTCCTTGATTTAATGTGTTCCCCAAATATAAAATTCTCTTCATGATTTCTTTCAACTTTGTGGACCTCCGCACCTAACAAATCCAACAACAGTATTATATCAAGTAAGTACAAAAAAGGTAAAAGCAGAAGAGGGTAGAATGAATTTATAATAGTAGACCTAGATCATGATCACCTCACCTCATCACATGCAGAGTTTATTGTGTTTAGACTTGTTCTAAACTCTGTTGTAAGCTGAAACAAAATCCCAACTCAAATATAATGAAATCAACAATAAATAATCACTCCAAAATATTACATTAACAATTACAAGCTAATTACAAACCTGCATGTTAAATTTAATTTTGAACAGAAAAGCCCTTAATTTCGCATCCATACGTGGCACCTTCATTAGGTCCAGGATATACTGCAGTAAAATTTCATTCTCATGAGATAAATTCTTGATAGATATCAAAATGAAATAAAAAATTATAATGTACTATGATATCGATGCTGACCTGTTCGTGCTTAATCATTGTCTCAGAGTCATCAGTGAACTTCTTCTGAACAGTCACAATGCAGAAGAAGATCAATACAAGTATTTTTACATAAGAATATTATCTACAAGGAATACCAGGTAAATGAGTTATGGCTTCACCTTGACTTGCTCCATCTCTTCTTTCGTGGGATAGAATTTGAGAAAATCTTGTATTTGATCGGAATCTATAAGGTTATCATTCATAGCTAAAATTGCAACCTACAGAATCCATATGAGGGATAAAGTTGCAATTAGTCAATTGAAAACGGGTACATAATTTTAAGCCAACTTGATCAAAAGAGTACTTACCACCATATCAGGAAATGACATCTTAATTTTTGCATTCATGTGACAATGAAGAATTTCTAACACATGCTTTTTCAGATTCTCGTCTGCATTCTCATGATTCACTACAAGATTAACCAGGTTGTGCACAGTGAAGTTATCAAACTTTTGAGCTTCAGACAAACGAAAGAAATGCTTTTTGTTTCCATATCTACAAATTTCTTGTAGTACGGTTTCACTTCTGTGTTGTTCAATATTATCAAATTTAGTGTTGGGAGCTTCTATTACCAAATGTTCCACTCCAAAACTCTTTGCTAATTCCATATCTACCCTTGAAAAACATTGAATGTACTCTTTTAAAGCCTTTCTTACCCTCATGAGAATATCCCTATATTGTACAACTCCTTTATCATGCTTCTCTCCAAAATATACCAACAGAAACTTCAAATCATGAGGATTCAAATGAGGAATTTCTGCATCTGTAAACATACTGATTGTTCCATCTATTCTTTCAATTGTATATTCATAGTAATCAAATACCCTTTTGTACACTCTCTTCTTCAAATCCATTACATTTTGAATTCTGATTGTTGAATATACTTCGGATGCTGGTCTGTAATGCATATAAAAATAATGTTCTATCTTCTTGTAATTGGCAAATTGAGGAGTGAAAGTATGAACAACTCTGGGCATGTTTGGTTGGTTATTCAGAGCTAAAATTGCAGCCTGAAGATTAAAGATTAAGTTACCATTAGTCAACTGAAAATGGTACAGAAGTCAACTGGATCAAGATGGTAACTAACTACCACCATATCGCTTCTTCTTGTAAGGATGATTTGCGAGTTATTAACTCTCCTTGTATCATTAATCTACAGATAAGAATTTAGCGCGTGAGGATGCAAACTAAACATGAAGAACATAAAAAGTAAAAGGTAATTTATACTGTATTTACATTGCATCATTACCAAGTAGATTTGTTGAGCTTCTTTAGAAGCAGCTTTCTTTGGGACTATGGCAGAGAAGAGTGTCTCAAGTTCTGATACATCAAATTCTGGCACACTACAATACAATACAAAGGAAGTTAATTAATGACATGAGTCATGAGTTATCATATGTCATATGTGAAGTGAAACACAACAGAAGAATTAGAAAGCAAACCTTTGGGGCTCTCCATGTCTTTGCAATTCTTCCCACAAGCTTCCTTGCAATGCGCTCGTCACTTTGTTCCAATGCAATGGCTTTAAGTTAGATCTTTGTGTTCCCGGTCCTCCACGTACTCGTCCTCTACCTCGCCTTGCTCCAGGTGGAGGTGGTGGTCCACCAGGAGGTCCAGGTGGCAGTGGAAGTGCTCCTCCATACAACGATGGAAGTGGTGTTGTAGGTGTCGCTCCTCCGTACAATGGTGGAGGTGGTGGAAGTGGTGTTGTAGGTAGTGAAGGTACTCTTGCATGCAACGGTAGAGGTGGAGGTTCAGATATTCCAGGAGGTGGCGGTGACGGTGGAGTTGGTGGATGTGGTGCTGTAGGTGGCGCTCCTCCATACAACGGTGGAGGTGGTGGTGCCCCATACATCGGTGGTGGTGGAGGTGGAGGTGATCCACCATGCATTGGTGGAGGTGGTGCTCCATACATTGGTTGATGTGGTGCTTCATACGTCGGTGGAGGTGGTGGTAACCCTAAACCACCGCCAGGAAACGGTGGAGGAGGTGGAGGTGGTGGTGAAGGGGACATCGTTCACCGCTGCTGTAGCCTTCTAATCATGCATGAGCTTGAAACTCACATTTAATTTGGGGATTAAGGTAATTGTTTTGTTATTGGTTACAAGATTCAGCAAAAAATGGACGTGAAATGTTACGTACCAAAAATGTTTGATTCCCCAATTTCGCCTCACCTGTCCAAAAATGTCGACAATGTCATGTCATAGAGAAACCGATCTTAAAATCTTCCAATTTTTGTTTTTAATTAACCAACCAGTTATATCAATGCGATGATGGAAACTTTTCAATTCCAAACTTCGATTCGCCAATCAGTGAAAAGGATTTCTATTGTGATTATGAGGAATTCGATGATTTGGGAGGGAAAAATTGCAATTGATTCTGGGAGTTCGTCACTGCAATTGAATTCTTTAATTTCTGTTGTACACACACGTATGTGTTGTGTGGGAATTGGGATATGTGTAAAAGTTGGTAAAACAAACAAATCAACCTTGTGCGCGATATAACGACGACAGGTATTTCCGCTTTATTCCGTCGCTAAAATATTAACCACGATCCAAATTTCCAAATACATAGCTACCCATTCATTTTACGACTGATATTTCTATATCTGTTGTAGTGGTAAATCCCATATTTATTTCATCTTTGCGAATTTTATATTTAGCTTGTTCATTTTAAAATATTAAGAAAAATATAAGAATGAGTTACTTTAGTTAACGAATATAAATACAAATACAATAAAATAAATTATGAGTTCTCGTAATTGTAATTTTTTTTACAAAGATTAAAAATATAATATATTCAACGAATGGTACCTACAGTTTAGGGTAATTTGTATGTTTGGTTCCTAACTTATATTTTTAACTTGGAATGTCATTGTTGTTTGTTTTTGTTGCGCGCTTGGTCCATTTCTTACCTAAAAAGATTATTTTGGCCTTGATTTTTTAATTTATTTAAATAAACACACCTTAACCTCAACCCCCTCACCTTACCTTACCCACCCCACCATTTTTCCCTATTTAAATAATATATTTTTTAGATAAGATAGGGACCAAACACATAACAAAAACAAATAGAAGGGACCAAACATGTAACAAAAACAAACTTCAGGTACCTTCCGAGTTAAAAAAATAGGTTTGAGACCCAGCGTACAAATTACCCCCGACCATAGGACCATTTTTGGTCTCAATATTCTAGTCTTACTATTAATATGTTTCATACCAATCCAAAATGTTTATGTATGCACTTGACAATTATAAATTTGTTTTACTAGATTATTTATATAATATATTTGTATTGAAATATCGAATTCTATAGGGGATTCTCCTTTTGATGTAGCTTGCATGAAGCTAATACGTTTATGATGAATTCGAAGCATCAAGATAATACAATACACGAGAAACATTTAAGAGATAGAGAAAAAAGGTGTAACAACGTAAATTTTCAAAACAATTTTTCATTTTTAAATCATACTTTCATTCACATGATAATCACAAAACATAATGTGTCACTGTGTCATAACAAAAACATGTCCCAGAATCTCAATAACATAAACTCCATAAGTGTGTACGGATCATGCCGACGCCTTCCCACGGTCCTCGCTAGTACCTGAAACACATATCATAACAATTGTAAGCATAAATGCTTAGTGAGTTCCCCAAAATACCACATGCCACACATACGCCTTTCCAGGCCACAACTCTATAGGATCTTCCGATCCATGTGTCTCAGGGGACTCCCGTCCCAAATCCCGGTAGACCTTCGGTCCTACCCGTATCGACCTTCCGGTCCGTAACCTCTTGACCTTCCGGTCCATATCATACATAATCATACATAGCACATACATATCACATAACCGCATATAGCACATACATCATAGCATACAAGACCTTCCGGTCACACATAAGTACCCTTCCAGGTACAGTATAGTGAGAAGACTCACCTCGTATGATGTCTAGTAACTCACGTGCTCGATATCCCTGAATCTCGAAACAACGACCTAGCCCCGCCTAATCACATAAAGTAATTATTTCAAATCATTAACGACTCTCAAGGCTAGACTAATCCCTTCCTATGTCCTCTCAGAAGGTTAAAAGACCATTTTACCCCTTAATGGTCCCAAAAGTCCAATTGTTGACCAAACCCTAAAAGTCAACAAAAGTCAACTCTCCGGGTTACGCTGCGCGTACCAAGCCTGTACGTTGGGCGTACCAGGTGACCTCACAGAAACGGGGAACGCGACCCCCTACGCCGCGCGTACTGGGATTACGCCCAGCGTAACTCCCAGTTTCAGACTCCTTAGCTCTTGAGGTCTTAAACAGTTAAGACCCATGTCCAACTTTTAGATCTGACCATTTCTAAGCCTCTTAATCCATAAAGTTGGTGACTTTAAGCCTTTGTATGGCTGGACAAGTCACTAACACCCATAACATTCCATTTCCCAACTCTAGAAAGCTCATAATTCAAGCATGACCTCATATCAACGACCAAGATGGAAACTTTATGGATCTATAACACAAATATCACTGAAATGGGACAGATCTAGGTCCATGGAGTCCTTTATGCTCATAAAGTCTCCACCTTTGGGACTTTAACCCTAGAAATGGTCCATAAAGCACAAATAAAAAATAACAAGGAAAGCTTTGAGCTTTATACCTCCAAGTGAAGCTCCTCCCTCTGTAGAACTCAGATCCAAGCTTGTACTCCAACTTCTAGCCTCCACACGAACCTCCTCTTCTTCTTTACTAACACACAAAGGCACTTTCTTGCTCAAGAACACACACACTAGCTTTAGAACGATAAAGTTGCTCTTCTAGGGTTTCTCTCTGAGGGATGGTGGCTGGGGACAAGACCATCTCATTCCTTTTATAGCCCTCAAGCCACAATTAGGGTTTTGCACCTGGGCCAACTACGCCCAACGTAACCCTGGGTACGCCCAGCGTACCTAGGCGAGTCCGCGTCCAAAATAAGCGCATGAGTACGCGTAGCGTACTCTTGAGTACGCCCAGCGTACTCATTTGCTACAATTTCCACTCAAGGGCTAATCTTGACAACTTGACAAAAGAGAAGGGTTAAATAGTTGTACCTGAATTTCGGGATGTTACAATTCTCCTTCACTAGAACCAGACTTCGCCCTCGAAGTCTCATGCTGAAAACAACTCCGGATGCTGCTCCCGCATCTCTGACTCTGTCTCCCAGGTCAGCTCAGACCCCCTCCGATGTTGCCACTGAACCTGAACCAGGGGCACCTCCTTGTTCCTCAGAACCTTGATCTTTCGATCCACAATCGCGATTGGCCTCTCAACATAATTCAGGCTCGCATCCACCTGAATGTCCTCCAGCGGCACCACTACCGACTCGTCGGCTATACACTTCCTCAACTGAGACACATGGAAGGTATCATGAATTTGGCTCAACTCCACAGGTAGCTCCAACCGATATGCTACCTTGCCCACCCTCGCGGTCACCATGAACGGACCGATGTACCGGGGCCCCAGCTTGCCCCTCTTCCTGAATCGGATCACTCCTTTCCAAGGGGACACTTTCAGGAGTACGAAGTCCCCCGCCTGGAACTCCAGCTCGGATCGTCGCCGATCTGCATAACTCTTCTGACGACTCTGAGCCGTCAGTAACCTCTGTCTAACCTGCTGTATCTGCTCTGTCGTCTGCAGTACTATCTCAGTGCTACCCATCACACGCTATCCTACCTCTCCCCAGAAAATGGGAGTCCGACACCTCCTCCCATACAACAACTCGAAGGGAGGCATACCAATACTAGAATGGTGGCTGTTGTTGTAGGAAAACTCAGCCAACGGCAAGTATGTGTCCCAACTTCCTCCGAAGTCCAACACACATGCTCGAAGCATGTCCTCGAGCGTCTGAATCGTCCGCTCACTCTGTCCGTCCGTATGGGGGTGGTAGGCGGTACTGAAATGCAACCTTGTACCCAACTCCTTGTGGAACTTCTTCCAGAACCTGGAAGTGAAACGTATATCTCGATCTGACACAATCGAGATCGGTAACCCATGACGCGATACCACCTCCCTCACATACAACTCTGCCAACCTCTCAGCAGAAGAGCTCTCACTGATAGCAAGAAAATGTGCGCTCTTCGTCAGCCGGTCGACGATCACCCAAATTGCATCGACACCCCTCGCGGTCCTCGACAATTTGGTGATGAAATCCATGGAAATATGTTCCCACTTCCACTGGGGAACCTCAAGCGGCTGCAACTTGCCATGCGGACGCTGGTGCTCGGCCTTAACCTTGCGACAGGTCAAGCACCTCTCGGCAAACCACGCGACATCCCTCTTCATACAGGGCCACCAATAATCTTTCTTCAGGTCCAAATACATCTTCGTGGCCCCGGGATGGATCGAGAACCTCGATCTATGCGCCTCCTCCATCAAAGTGGTACGTGCCCCGCCTGCATACGGCACCCAAATCCTGACCTTGAAAGGTCATCAGCCCTCGACTATCGGTAACGAACTCAGGCACCTGCCCGATCACTCGCTCCCTCTTGCGGTTCTCCGGTCTCACAGCCTCTGCCTGGGCCTCCCGAATGGTGTCCAACACCGGAGTCATCACTGTCAATCTCATACAAGTGCCTCGAATCGGGGCACCCTCCGCCCTACGACTCAACGCATCAGCTACAACATTAGCTTTGCCCGGGTGATACAGGATTTCACAATCGTAATCCTTTACCACGTCCAACCATCTCCTCTGACGCATATTCAGATTGGGCTGATCCATCAAATACTTCAAGCTCTTGTGGTCCGTGTATATGGTACACCGAACCCCATACAAATAGTGACGCCAGATCTTGAGGGCGAACACCACTGCTCCCAACTCCAAATCGTGGGTGGGATATCTCGTCTCATGAGGCTTCAACTGCCTCGATGCATACGCTATCACATGCCCCCTATGCATAAGTACTGCACCCAACCCCGATATCGACGCGTCACTATACACCATAAAATCCTCCATCCCTTCCGGGAGGGCTAACACAGGGGCTTC